TCTCGCTTGCCTCTCTCCTCCCTCTCCCAATCTCGCTCGCCTCTCTCTCCCTTCTCCCAATCTTGTTTGCCATATATACAAATACATATGTATCATATACAATTATCTAACCGATATACATATACAATTCACCTCTTTCCCACTCTTTTTGTTCCCTCACTCGCCTCTCTCCTCTCTCTCTCCTCTCTCCTCCCTATGACATGTAGCTACGAATTGTAATTATCAAACTATAGCTATGGAGAGTAATTAGGCTATTTTTGAGTGGCTATATGTGAAAGTTCCTCTTTTAAGAAAAGAGGGTTGGCCCGGCAAAGCCCGTAGTCCATGTACTTGTGGGTTGGGCCGACCATATTCTGATCCACACCAAAATGGGCTAGCCTGGCCTGACCTGTCAAATTTCAAAGTCTGTATGAGTTAATCCGGATGGAGTGGGCCAGCCCACATTGCTTTTAGTTTTCTATCTCATGTATTAAAACTAGACACCAGATTACCCTTCAAATTACTAGACATGCATGTTGACCTCCTACCTGGTTAAGCTGCTTCAACTGCCTCTTGTAATATATATATATATATATGAGAAAAATATAAGAGAATGAGGAAATTATAACTCAATCTTTCTTCATTTAAGCCGTTGATTTTAATTATTGTTCATGTAAGATTTATACTAGATTTGTTAAACTCAGGTCGTCTTGACCATAAGGCCATTAAACTGTTCAATTTACCTCCTTTACGTTCTTGATATCCCATTTTTAACACCACGTTTCTTGAATTATGACCTTTTATAGGCTCATATGATATTTTGGAATTTGTTATGTTGGATTAGGTTTTGCGCCTAATTTACACCTTAAAAGGTAAAAGCTAATTCAACGGGAGAACCGAAGAAGGTTTGTCGAAGTCTTTTAAGAAATTCAGGATTCCACCGATGTGGAACGTTCCATTCATCGCCCCCTCTCATATTGGAATCTGAATATTCTTTATTCGAAATTTTACTATCTAGTTTGACGCGTGTACATTCATGAACCATGGGACATTATTTGATTTAAGAGTGAACATGGTGCAAAAGAGGTTTTAAGCTTTGATGAAAAACAATCTCACATTTTGTTTTATACATGAACAAATAAATTTGATTTCTTTTTATATTAACCTCCCCAAAACTAAAATGACAAAGAAATCAACCAAAAAAAAAAAAAGACAAAGAAACTTAAATTAATTTTTGTTTCCCATTTTATAATTTGTCATACTCTTCGTAATTTATAAAATTTCACATTAGACATCAAATTAACCATTTTGGTAACTACTAAAAAAATTTTGGACACAATTTGTGGTCAAGAAATTAACACTGATCTTTAATATGAAATTCTTCTACTATACGTACATATCATACTTGATGCCCGACAACGTATACTATAGTTTTATTGCAAGCTATATGAAAAATAAAATTACATAAATGAACCGATCTCTAGAGGTCGATATTACATTACATATTACAAATAAAGCAAAACTCAAGAATTCCAATCCCTCAACTCCTAACCATCAATCTCGATTCTTTATTTGATTAAAACTCAATCAAACTTCTGGCAAAAGATGGCAAAATAAAAGCTGATTTATGAATCTGGAAAGAAACAAAAAAATGTTAATTATAAAATTGTATAATAATAATAATTAAAAAAAAAGGTAATTAAAAGAATAAATAGTGAGATATAAAATTATTACATCAGTGTTGTAGAACTTGAGAGGTTCTAAGTTTGACTTGACATGGGTTATATCTTTGTCAATCGGATTAACTGGATTCTTAAAGTCAACTTCTGGTCCCTCAGTAGAGCAAAGCATGTAACCAATTACACCACTATAAAAATAAATATACAAGAAATATTAGATTGATGTGCAATTAAATATCTTTATATCAGCATCGTTCGTCTGAAGTTTGATATGACAAAATGTTTAAAAAATATGACAAGACTTTGAGATGTTTCAAAACTATCCTTAAAAAAATACACCTTTGCGGACTTTTTTATCAAATAAGTGGAATTCTATATGTGTAAAATGTTGATAGTGTCATTAAATATATTTGTCAAATAAAAAAATATATCATATTTTTTTGTATTGATTAATACTCCCTCTGTCCCATATTAGATGAACATCTTACTAAAAATAGTTGCCCCTTATTATTTAATCACTTAATAAATCAAAGATAAATTAATTAATTTTCCTATTTTGCCCTGCGATAAATATAATCTTTAAAATGTGAATAATTTGCAATACTAGCTATTCTTATACTCTATTTTTATTTTTTCTTATTTTTGTAGGCATTGATATAAACAAAGGGCTAAGTTGTAAAGTTGATCAATCTATATTTAATCTATTAATGATTTTTTAATCACCGTGTAAAAAAGAAAATATTCATCTAACATGAGATAGAGCGAATAAAAAGAAAGTGTGACACATAAATCAAAACAGATGGAGTGATATAACATAACCTGAAAGTTGATTTCGAAAGAATAACAGACAAAATTAAGATTGTTATAGCTGACAATTGTTATAGAAAAGTCTGACGTTAGATAAGAGAAAGAAAATACGTACGTGGGATACGTTGGAACAGTAGTCCAAGCATAGTTAACAGAACCTTTAAAGACTTGACGACAATTAGCAATAATTTGTTTAATAATATGCATATGAAGCCAAATACTTTCAGCCTGCGTGCATACAACTCCTCCTGGCCTAAGAGCTTTGGCTACTGCCTCAAAAAATGGCCTCTCAAATAAATCTTTTGCTGGACCTGAAAATATTATATTAAAACAAAACATGAAAATATCGATAAGTTAATGACCAAACACACATTTAAATTTGTAACTGATAACTTAACTATTCATTGTTTGATTTACCTATCTAAATTGGTCGATATCTATATGTAATTATAATTTAGATGATCTAATATAAATATTTGTTTAGATCATTAGTATATAAAAGTAAAAATCATTTTATAACAACATTATTAACCTTGTTATGGTTTATTTAACATTAATTAATTATGTTTGTATTAAATAAAAAATAAAGTACCAATAGGATCAGAAGAGTCCACTATAATAGCATCATAATACCCTGCTTGTGCAGCCTTTACAAATGCAGTTCCTGAAAAATAAAATCAAATCAAGAATAAATAAATTAACCAAAAAAGAAAAGAATAAAACAAATGAAAATAAAGTAATACTAAATTATACTACCTCCTCCGTTTCAATTTATTTTGTCCTACTTTCTTTTTTAGTCATTTTCATTAAAAAAAAAGTTCATTTCCATTGACAACTCTTTAATTTTAAATTTCATATGACATATTTAAGATCATAAGATTAAAAAATATTTTGATATATTTATCATATCTTTGATCAAATACCACAAATTTCAAAAATCTTCTTTTACTTTCTTGAGTTTTGTGTCAAATCAAAAAGGAGAAACTATATAGCTAATTACACAAATATTCTTACCAAATTCTCTATAGTTTGAAATAATTACATTTTATATGACTAATTAATAATTGCATACTAAATTTGAAGTCAGATACACTTAGATGCATTGTAATAGGAAGAGAGGCGACCGAATACATGAGGGAGGCGGGCGAGATTTGTCTATACCTGTATATTTCAAATACATAGGAGAGTGACGAGTGAGATGGGAGGGAGGCGAGCAAGATTTGTTTGTATATCGCAGATATATGTAAATTCACTTCGATACAGTGTATTTAGAGCAAATTACACCTAATTTTGATACTATGTATCTCTAGATACATATATCTAAACGTATCTAAAAATATCAAATTCTGATAAGATTCGTAATATCGCAAAGTAGCATGTATCTAAGCAATCATTTTAAAAATTAATGAAATTTTATATATTATCCCATTAAAAAGTAAAACAATCAAATTGAAATGACGGAAGTAATAATACACATACCATCGCCGAGAACAAGAGTTGCACGAGGATCATTAAAATTAGCCGCAAGGTAGGGGAAAAATTTTCTAGACACCTGTATGAAAAAAATATTATATTTTATTTTCCTTTTAAAAATATTTTTTCAAGTATTAAAAGTAAAAAAAATCACAAAGAGTAAGATTTTTTAATTTTATTTTTACTTACATCGACCACCACATCATCAATCTCAACAATATCTATTTTTTCTATGGTAGGATAACGAAGAACTTCGAATAATGTAAAACCAATTCCTACACCAATGATCAACACCTATTAAATAGAATCAAACAATATAAATATCACTTTTAAAAGATAAACAAATTAAAACGAACAGAGAAAATAAAAACCTTTTTGGGACTTGGGATTGAACCAAGTGGTAGATGAACAATCATTTCAGTATATGGAAATCCACCATTTTCTGTGTGTTGAATTGCTCCATCCAATGTAAGAACCTTACCATAAGTTGCTGACTGTACGCATATTGCAATATATAAATAAATAAAAATAATTTAATTTACAAATATTATATATTACATATATGACTCAAATATATTACATATTTATAACATAACGTTGATTATTTATATATTACCTCAAAGAGCATGACATCTTGATAATCTGACTTCCCTTGAAATAACAAATTCTCAATTTTTACTGAGAATGCTTCACCTACAAAATTTGATAATTTCTGTAAATTAGAATAATATGATACGTGTTACACTATTAAAAATGAAGATTTTTTATATCGCGAATTAGTAAAAACAATTGTGTTAAAATATATAAATTTATTTTACTCTTTTTCCATTGAATCAGTTCGCTGGAGAAATGCATGTTGAAAAACAGATTCTCACTGAAATAGTGAAAGGCTTATAATTATTTTGTATGAAATATTACTATTTTTTTGTTTTTTCTCATTGAATCGATCAAAATATCTATAGTAATAACCACTAAACCATTTTTTAGTAGGAAAATTTATAGTGATTTTCTTAGTAATGTTACTATTAGAGCACTAGGTAAATTTTGAACAAGATTCATTCGTACTAAACACACTTAATTTTTTAATACTCACTGATCCCCACACCCCATCCCACTCCTCATTAATACTGTTCTGCTTGAAATGTGATAATAATTTTTTGGTTACTAAACGGTCACTAAAAATTAAGTAAGAAATAAACTCAATTGTTTAAAATTTCAAACAAATATTTTTTTTTCATACCAAATACGCCCTTAATTTTTTAAATTAATACCAACCTGGCCATAACGCGCTGAACTCTGAAAACCAACCAGGCTTAATAGAGTTGGAGTTTCCCAATAATAGCTTATTGCCATTGTCATGAGTTGTTCCGCCGTTTCGGTGATTGGACTTGCTATTATTGTGGTGGTCGTTGATGGTGATTGTGATGACAAAGCTATTTGTGTGAGTAGATATGACTTCCATATTAATTGGAGAATAGAAAGTATGTAATATTATGTTTGGGAAAAAGTAAATATTGTTGTATACTCCCTCAAGGTTTCGATGTATTTATAGTAAGTGTTTTGGACATGAAGGAATGGGGATAATATATATATATATATATATATATTAATACAACGTGATTATATTGAATCAAGGCATCAGAGGGATTTAAAATATATAATGTTGTCTGAGTTCAATTATTTGTACAAAAAGATTTTTTTTAAATGGAATGTTACAAAAGGCTAACATGATATTTTCTCCATACACTTTTATTTATTCAATTTAATAAGTTTAGGATAGTTATTTTAGTAGGGAGTATTTTACCTCATCAATGACTAAGTGGAAACATCCAGGTTCCAAAGAAAAATGACACCCCCTATGTAAAGTAAGGAAAAACAATTCAATACGATCTTAACCTTACCACCCGACTCTAAACTAAGACCCAACTTTTCACCCCGACTAGAGACTTGACTCCCAATCCCAATTTGGGACTCCACCCTGACTCGAGAGACCCGCTCATAACCTTGACCTAGGAGCAAACTCCCGACCCCAATATGGAATCCAACCGGGACCAGGCTCCCAATCCCAACTCGAGACCCAATACTAAATTGGGACCCAACTTTCAACCCCAATTTAGGACCAAAATCCCAGCCCTAAGACTCGACTCTTGACCTTGACCCTAAACCAAATTCCTAGGCCTGACCCAGACTTGAATTATAAAGTTGACCCAAGATTTAGTATCCCCAACCCAACACAAGACCCGATTCTCGACCCCGTCTAGGGACTCAACTCCTAACCTAGACCCAACTTTGATCCCCATGTGACACCGAACCCGACCCTAAATCAGGACCAAACTCTCAACCTTGATCTTGACTTTTGACATAGACCTAGGACATGACCTTGACCTACTCCCAACCCTAACCTAGGATACAACACCTACCCTAACTTGGGACCTGATTTCCCACCCCAACACTAATTTGAGACCCGACTCCCGATTTTAATCTTAACCCCAGACCTAACTCTCGACCCAGACTCGAGATCCAACCTTGATCTTGACCACTCGACGTGACTCCTAACCCTGACCTCGACCTTAACCTAGGATTTGTCTCCTGACCCCAACTTGAAACCCCACCCGATCGATCCCCGCTATTACTAAGGACGCCCAACTCTCGATCCTAACCCCGACCTGAAATCTAAATTCCACCTTGATTAATCTAGGAACTGACTCCCGACCCATACCTAGGAATAGGGCGGACCTACAAATTAGGTTGTGGGTGCTCGAACACCCATTGACCCGGACGTAAAGTGTATATAGATATATAGAAATATCAAGAAAATGGATATGGAGAGCTACTTTGGGGTGGACATGGTATGATATATACTGAATTACCATATCATACCAAAATTTTGATACTGCGTTTTGGTATTATGGTAATTTGTATGGTATATGGTATACATTTTAATTTGTTTTGGCATTCGGTATGGTATTTGGTATTTCAAAATAACATATCAAAATACCGAATATCATACCGAAGTATACAGTTACATGAATAACATATATATATATATATATATATATATATATATATATATAAAAATACTAACAAATATGCAACCTAGTATAGTATAAACTAATTGGTTAGAAGTTGAAACTTTGGCTACTCTATTTTGATTGAAATGTATTTGAATTGTAATTGATTAACAAAATGAGTTGCTTGTACTTTATTTTGCATATAGATTTCTACATGTGTAATGTGTAGTATGATACAATTGAAGCCTTTTTTTAATTATCGAAGTCATAATACTCTATTATATGAGTATATATTAGTTGAAGTTAAAAAAATTATGGTTATCAATTTACCATACCGTAAAATACCAAAACCGAACTTTAATATATTGAACCATACCAAATTAAATTGGTATGATAATGGTATAATATTTTTAAAACTGAATACAAAAATTACGATATCGAAACTTTCAAATATTATACCGTACCATACCATGCCCACCCTAGAGCTAGTGATGAGCACCCACAACATATCAGTTTGTTGTGGTGCGTTGGGTTAAGAGTGGGTGACGAAGGCCTACAGTTTCAGCGGCTGAGGGATCGAATCCTCTTAGAGCAAAGACTGTTTTCTTAAGCACCCACTATTACAAAAATTTGGATCGGCCACTACCTAGGAACATGACCCCAAGCCGACCCCAACTCAAGTCAAGGTTGGGTCCTGCTCGGGTTTGGAACTCCGATCAAGTTTTAAAATTTGAATCAGTTCCCAAATTGGGATCGGGTCCAGGGTTATATCTCAGGTCAAGTCATGTTTCGTGTTTGGGGTCGAGATAGGGATCTGAGTAGATGTGAAATGTTAAAGGGTGGGGTCTGGTGTCATAGTATTTGTCTAAATTATATCAAAATACTTTAAGATAATATATTCTTTTACTAATCAAACACTAATAAATTATAAATAAAATAATTACTTATTTGTTTTATAACAAGGGTGCCGCTCCCCGATTTTTCTTGCCATAAGTGGACAAAGAGAGGTGGTATAATTAATCATGCAAAAATTATTGTTATCTTTCTTAGTATGGACTATGGACCTTGGCTCCCCTCCATTACTCTTTCCTTCCATTTCGTCAAGTACACATCTAGATGAGAGACATGTGTACTATTTAATTGTTAAAGGTCAAGATTATATTTCATTAACTAGTATCATAACCATAATTAAGTGAATAAGTTTTGACAAATAATTTCTTAACTTTGGTAAGAATAATTAATTCTTCTCAAATTTTGGTATCCATATATTTATATCATTGATTTTATTTTATATTTTTTTATTTAATTATTAAAATTATGGAACATGAACTTAATAATGTTTAATTTGTTTAGCCTAACAGTAATCTTACAAAATATTTTGCCTTTAAATTGATGTTTGTTTTTTTTTTTAAAAAGATTATTTTTTTGGATACTTTCACATTTGTAATTCTAATGCATTTTTTACTTCCCAATTTTACTATATGATTTCTATCATCAATGATAATTCTTCCCTTTATTTTTTAAACTTCTCAACATAATATTTCAAGAATAAATTTGCTAGCATAGGAAGCTATTAAATAATGTACAATATTAATATTTGAATATAGAAATATAAAATGAAATCAAAGGGTTCTAAGATTTGTAGGAATATTTTTCTTACCAAAGTTAAAGAAATTATTTGTCAAAACTTATTCACTTAATTATGGTTATGATACTAGTTAATGAAATATAATCTTGACCTTTAACAATTAAATAGTACACATGTCTCTCATCTAGATGTGTACTTGGCGAAAATTATATTCAGAGTAGAGTATATTTTAGGGGAAATTAAACAAATACCCATAAAAATAAAATAATTACAAATATATATCTTTTTACATTTATATCCCACTAAATAATTACACTATATACTTCCAACTAAATTCGCTTAATTGATATTAAATCAGTATCATATATTGTATTGATATCATTAAGGTTGATAATATCACTTAATTAATACTAAATCACTATATATATATATATATATATATATATCCTTAATGATATCAATACGGTATATGATATATTGATTTAGTATCAGTTAAGCAAATATTATCAGCCTTAATGAATGGGGGTATGTTCTGTAATTATTTATGAGAGAACGCGTATTTCAGAAATTACTTTGGGCTTAGATATGAATTTTTAATATAGTTTTTCCAATATTTTATGGAAAATGGCCAAGATTACTTTCTATTTTTTATATTAATAAATGTATGTAATCTTTGTCTCCTATTTAAAATATAGATTAATTAATCTAATCTAATGATTCAAAGATTAGATATATTAATTATTAATTAAAATAAGAAAGAAAAAGAAGCTAGCATAAATATAATATATTGTAACCTTTTTTCGTTTGTTAGCTTCCTCCAGTGTAGACTCCCCTCATTATTGTTCTCAAATCTCAATATTTCAAATATGCCAAATATACATGCATATACTTTATTATTAAGTGGACAGAATGACATACTATTATAATTAATACTTATATTATTTTTATTATCTATGTCTGCTAGCTCAAACTCGTGCCACAATCTAAATTTAGTGAGTCGTGACTGACACCTTATGTCTAATACCACTAATATTGGATGGTTGTTTCTTATTGTTTCATAATGTATTATATTGTATTATGTTGTATTGTATCATATGATATTGTTTTAATGAATGCAGTGTTAGGATAAGTTATATCGTTCTCCGTCGTTATATAATGTCGCACATCCCCGATTTGAATGATAAATCTACCAGAAAAGTAGGGTACATGGTATAAATACTATAAAAGTAGAGTAAAGGATGAAATACCATTATTAAATAATAAATAAAGATAAAATGAGAAGAAAATATTAAAGTAACGACGCGATCACACCAAATCGGTTGTTCCATAAAATGGGTCTTTTCATCATCACCTAACGATGAATTTAAACGATACGATATAATAGAATTTAAGTAATAATCAAAACAAATATTGAATTATACAATACAACGGGTAACAACCATCCAAACAAGGTGTAAGCAAATCATATGATTTATATCATATTCTCTTAACTATATTTCGAATATTCATGCAACCAAAATTAAATAAATGCACAACAAACCATTATATCAATAGTTGGGCTGTAGCCAAAATATACTACTCCAAAATTATGATTTTATGCACCATAGAAAGTAATGACATGCATATATTTAAGTATCTAATAAGTTAACTATGAATCCAAAAAAAAGTGTTGATTATTTATAAAATGAAATAAAATCACTAGAGGCATGGATGCCACGTACAATACAACGGTGGCTAGCTGACCACGTGGAATGAAATAGAAGAAAAACGTGAGGTGAAATGACCAAAACGCTCTTGATAAGTAAAATTAATTACCAAAAAAAGACATGTTGATACCACCTATAATATACTGATACTTCTACT